CTTCCTCCACAGGACTGTACTGTCCATCATAATGGTTTTGCAGACTTCCCTAAAAAATTGACTTAAAGTAGGTCAGCATGCCTGGGCCATTTTGAGATGATTTATTGAAGTTGGAGATGTTGGTTCATGTTTTTCAACACAAAGAACAAGATTTTAAATTGCTGGTGTTTAAAAGCTGAGGTGCTTTTGTTATTCCTTTATTAAAAAATGATGAGCGAATATAACTCAGAAAGAACTAAGTCTTAGTGCAGATCTCTGTATAGAGTAGGTGTTTAATACCTTTGGAAGTTATTACATTTTGAATGTCATAACAAAAATGACCCGGCAGCAAGGTGACACACTGAAGATGGGAGATTTAATAGAAGTTTCATCTCAAGCCCAAGGACAGAAGTTCTACCAAGCCCAAGTTCATTTAGTAAGCATTAATGATTTAAAAATTTTTAAGATTTCTTGGTGCAAGTTATCAGCACATACTAAAAGTAAAAATGTGCCTTATTTAATGACAAACGGACAGTATCTGTAGATTTCAGGATTTCTACTTTCATTAATGTTTTTAGTCTTTGTTTACATTTCACTAAACAACACAGAAGGAATCAATTTAAGGCAGAGAGCCAGAAATACAGATAGGTTAGATGATATCTTGATTTTATTTGAGCTGAATATATTTTGCTAAATACATTTTTGTAAGAGCAAAAATAAATGAATTCATTTAAAAGTACTGGTCTACCTAACCATGGGGTCTCACCATACACACCAAGTGTTTCTCTGTGAAAGAGAAAATACAAACAGCTTTTATGAGTATGTGTTAATAACATATTGGGTCTGCTCTGTGGCAATCTGGGCTATGCAGACATCACCAAACCTCCTTGGAGGAGGCCTAAACTGTCAAGGAAGGCTGTGTGATGTAGCCTCATAATGTGGATTTTCCACATCTTATACTCAAGCCTTTCATGGTTCAAATTCTCACTCCCCATAGAAAATTTAAAATTTACATGTACACTTTTTTAAAATTAATTTTTAAAAATTTATATGACAGTAGAATACATTATAATTTATATTAAACATATAGAGCTCAGCTTTTCATATCTCTGGTTGTATACAAAGTATATGCACATCAATTC